GCCGCGGCGGGGGGGCGCCCCCCCAGCCGCTATGGGGGGTGCGGGGCGGAGCTTCCCCCATAGCATCAGGACGCTGCCCCAGGCCGATGTTGGAAGCGGTGGGGGATTTAAACCGCCGGACGCAGCCTTGGACGGCTGGTCCTCCTCCTACCAACTCCCTTCGGACGCAGACACAGCGGGGAGGGAGGTAAGCCCTAGGGGCAGGCTGGTGGTGCTCGTGCCCAAGCTCGGGAGGAGGGAATCCCGGCATTCCCGTGACCGGGTTGGCCCTGGAGGAGGGCAGCCTGTCAGAGAGTGGGAAGGGAAGGGGGAGAGGAAGCAGCCCAGATTAGAACCGCTTAAGGTTGGTGGGCTGACGTGTTGTGGCAGGAAGCCCTGTCAGCCGGACCGGTCCAAGGAGGATCGGAGTCCTTAGGGCCCTGGGCTGGGGCCCGTGAGTGAGGGTGGGCCCGGGCCCCCGTCTCCCCCTCCTACTCGGAGAGCAAGGAAGTTATTCGGCAGAGACTAGAGATTGACGGGTGAGATACACCGACCGTGGACAGAACTGGGGCACGGTGGTGGGAACATTCGTAGACTGAAGGGACCTGAAGGGGGAAGAGGGCTGACAGCCAGAGAACTCCGCCCCCCCGGCCTGGTCACACAAACCCATGGAGGTGGGGTAGGAAACTACAAAGAGAGAGAGATTGCAACACCACCCTGCCCACAGCGAGATTGACGGGTGAGATACACCGACCGTGGACAGAACTGGGGCACGGTGGTGGGAACATTCGTAGACTGAAGGGACCTGAAGGGGGAAGAGGGCTGACAGCCAGAGAACTCCGCCCCCCCGGCCTGGTCACACAAACCCATGGAGGTGGGGTAGGAAACTACAAAGAGAGAGAGATTGCAACACCACCCTGCCCACAGCTGCGTTGTCCCTGGCCTGCTGCTTGTGAAAGTGTGCACTGACGACCAGATGGCTGCCCTACAGATTTCCACAATGGGTACTGTTACCCCAAAAAGTTCCACTGGCGACCATCCAGGGTTACACTAGTATGGACTGAGGATTAACACTGCACTACATGGTTAAACTAAAGATGATAGAACTGCCACTAAAGGTTTAAACTAAAGGGGAACCAGTGCTCGCTCGCTCTCTCTCACACACACACACCCCTACACCTTCATTCATTCACACACATTCATTCCTGCCCTCACACACTCACACAGGCATATGGGTTGCAAAAGAAGCCAAGGCGTGTAGATTCTGGAGGGTCTGTCTGCTCATCATGGCTGGGGAGCTGGTCAGGAAAGAAAGCTTCTGGCTTCAGAAAGAGGAGCTTCTCAGAAAGAGGGTTTCTGCCTCGTACTCTCTCCCTTTATTGCCTCTGTACAACCCCTGTGACTCATTCACATTTGTCACCAGGGAGCATGCCCAGGCTTCCCTTGGTCCAGCAGAGCAGCAGTCTCCTTTGTTTGCTCAGCCTTGATCGGTCTGATGACTCATCACCTGGCTCCACTTGCTCAACATTGCAATTTCTAATCCCAAACGCACAATGGTCTCCACTCTCACATTCATCTCTCAGGGGAGAATGCAGTTTAGCTAAGGCTTAACAATCACCAAGATCACAGTATGTTTCTGAATTTATAAAGCAAAGTTGCTGAGAGTTACAAAGTTGCAAGGTTTTACAAAGATTACAGAGTTGCAAGGTTTAAGATTACAACCAGTTGCAGAGTTTAAAAGGCAATGCAGCTGGAACCATTACAAAGCTTCAGCAAATCATTTACAGATCATCAGTAATGAAGTGATTTAGAAGCAATGCAGTCAGCTGGAGGTTTTTGTCAGTCTCCAAGTCATGTGTTGGCAGGACCTTTCCAGTTTAGTGTATTTCCAGAAAATACATGTGTAAAATCAAGTAATAGCTCGGGTGGAGGCTTTATGCAACAGGCACCTGGGCCACAAAGGCAGCGGATGAAGCTTGGGCCCTAGTGGAGTGAGCTGTAATAAGGGGAGCTGGAACATGAGCCAGCTCGTAACACGCTGTGATCCAGGACGAGATCCACTGAGCTGACACTGGCATAGCCTTCATTCTGTTAGCTATGGAAACAAATAACGGGGGGCATGCAGCACCAGAGGGAACTGCCAGCTGTTTAAAACAGCTGGTGATTCTCTCTCTAGGAGCCAAGGGCAGGGAGAAAAACTTAATGCACTCCCCCACCCCCAGGCCAATCACGGTATGCGGGCAGGGGAGCACAAGAAGTCTCCTGGCCCCGCCCCTTCTGCCTGAGACTCTGCCCCTTCCAGGGGGACCTGGGGCCACTTCAGAAACTTGTGAAGTGCCCCCCATCCCCCTTTAAAAATTATTGCCCACCCCAGGCTTAAGAACTTCCAAGACAGCTCATGTGGTACAATGCATCCAAAATTACCAGTCCTTAATGAAAATATTGACCTGGATGTGTATCTGTGTAGATACAGATTTATTTATCTATGTTTGCTCCCTCTGTGTGACTACCTGATACTTCCCATTACATGAACCTATTTGCAGTTGCTTATAGGATTGTCAATTTTTAGCCATCAGTGCTGAAGTTTTTCATGTCTCACCATTCTGCTGTCAGCAAATACCTGTGAAGCTCACAGGCAAATTCTCAGAATGGAGAGAGGTAACTAGTGGTGTCTCCCAAAGGTCCGTATTGGGACCAATCCTATTCAATATATTTACCCCTTTCTCCAGATCATTTATAAACAGTGAGGTGGCAAAGTTTGCAGATGATACCAAACTGCTCAAGATAGTTCAGACCAAAGCAGACTGTGAAGAGCTTCAAAAAGATCTCAGCAAACTAAGTGATTGGGCAACAAAATGGCAAATGAATTTTAATATTGATAAATGCAAAGCAACGCACATTGGAAAAAATAATCCCAGCTCTACATACAATATGATGGGGACTAATTTAGCTATAACCACTCAAGGGAGAGATCTTGGAGTCATTGTGGATAGTTCTCCGAAAACATCCACTCAGGCTGTGTCTAGACTACAAAGAAAAGTCAGAAAAATATATGCAAATTGCGAACCGAAATTAGTGTATCTTTTTCCGCTTTTCTTCCGAAAGAGGCTTGTCTACACTGGGCCAAATGTTGGGAAAAAAGGCTCTTTTGAAACATCCCTTCTTCCTCGTAGAACGAGGTTTACACGGATGCCGAAAAAAGCGTTTGCTTTTCTGAATTTTTTTTTGGAAAAGCACACGCGTTCCTTGGATGCAGCAGAGCTTTTCCAGGAGACTTCCAGTATCCCGGAAAAACTCTGCAGTCTAGACATACCCTCAGTGTGCAGCGGCAGACAAAAAAGCAAACAGAATGTTAGGAGTTATTAAAAAAGGGATAGTGAACAAGACAGAGAATATCTTATTGCCTCTATATAAATTCATGGTACGCCCACATCTTGAATACTGCATACAGATGTGGTCTCCTCACCTCAAAAAAGATCTATTGGCAGTAGAAAAGGTTCAGAGAAGGGCAACACAAATGATTAGGGGTTTGGAACAGGTCCCATATGAAGAGAGATTAAAAAGACTGGGACTTTTCAGCTTAGTAAAGAGGAGACTAAGGGGGGATATGAGAGAGGTCTAGAAAATCATGACAGGTATAGAGAAAGTGAATAAGGAAAAGTTATTTACTTGTTCCCATAACCTAAGAACTAGGGGATCATTAAATGAAATTAATTGGTAGCAGGTTTAAAACAAACAAAACTTTTTTTCTTCTTCACGTAGCACACAGTAAACCTGTGGAACTCCTTGCCTGAGGATGTTCTGAAGACCAGGACTTTAACAGCGATCAAAAATGAACTAGATCAATTCATGGACGTTAGGTCCATCAATACTTATTAGCCAGAATGGGTAGGAATGGTGTCCCTGGCCTCTGTTTGTCAGGAGCAGGAAATGGGTGATAGGGGAGGGATCACTTGATGATTGCCTGCTCTGGTCACTCCCTCTGGAGCAAGGGTGGGCAATAATTTTTGAAGGGGGGCCACTTCACAAATTTCAGAAGTGTCCACGGGCAACCCGGAAGGGGCGGGGCCTCAGGCGGAAGGGGCGGTCCATGTGCTGTGAAAAGACACCAATATGTTTTTTACACAACAAAGTAATTAAATGTTAATAATAATTAACTGCATACAACATTATCCAAAGATTAACATAGAAAATTTGTAATAACAACACTAACACTCTGAGAACACTTGTAACATTTGTAATAACAACAACACTAACACTAAACTTTTAGTTGCATCAGTGGTGGGCAGTATCCGACCCGCGGAGCCGACACGGCTGACCAGGGGTAGCCGCTGCCGCC